AAGAGGAAAAAAAATGGAAACAAGGTCTTTGCAAATAGGGAAGGGTGGAGGGGGTGAAGGGAGGGCAAGGGAAGGGGAAAAAAATAAGAACCAAGATACTCATGTAAAGGTCCAAGATCCCAATGATGAATGCAACTGTATTTTATACCGAAAATGTACCAATAAACTTGATGGGTAAAAAATGGCTACCCATAAAATAATCAGGGAATAAACTGATAAACCTTTAAAAGTGTCTTATTTACTTTGCTCATCACTGGGACACAATACTTAATACCTGCAACTAAAAAGAGGAGAGGCTTATTTTGGCTCACAGTTTTTATGGCTTCGGTCCACAATGGACTGGCTCCAAGATAGGACAGCAGGCAGAAGCTCACAGCAGAAAAGAGCTGCACGGCCACCAGGAAGCAGCAAGAGTCAAGAGAGGAGCTGAGGAGGGAAATCAACGCTTCCAGGCCACTCCTCTAGTAACTCTCTTCCAAACAGACCCCACCTCCTAATAGCAATTCAGCTATAAGCCCCCATAAGCTAATCACCTTCCAAAAGCCCCACCTATAGGCACAAGAGGATCTTGGGGGGAAATCTAGATTAAAAACATGAAAAAATGTGTGAAGTAAAGGCCAGAACAGGAACCCAACTTTTTGATAGTTCATGTGGGAAGAACAATATGGATGTGAAGTCTGCAATCTGATTTGGAAGACAAAACATGTACACTGAAGTCAAGGACATATTGATACTAGGAAAGATATGATTTGGTTACAGCGTGTGAAGTACAGAGAATAATGCTCTAACATTATAAAAACAACCATAAACGATGGAGTAATTAGGGAAGGCTTCCCAATGGAGATGAGATCAGTTGAATTTAGTTTTGTGGAGAGCCAAAAGCATTCTACTACAAGGGAGTAACATATGCAAAAACTTGGAAGCAACAGGAACCGTATTTAACTGATATCAAAGAGCTTTGAAAGAAAGGCAGAGTGTTTTGGGTCTTCTTCTGTATATTGGGATATTATTTAAGGTTCTTGAGTAGAAGAGCAACATAAAAAAGTACTGTTTCTAAAATATATATTGTAACACTATAAATGATAGATTAGAAGGGAACAAGAAAAGAGAGAGGGAGATTACCTAGGTTGTTGTAGAAATCCAGGTGAGAGATGACAGTAGTTTACTTACTGCAAACAGTAAAATAGTAAACAATAAAACAGTGAACAGCAAAACAGTAAAATAATAATCTAAAATCATATATTGAATGCCTACTCCATGTGGGATACTGTCATGGTTTATATCTAGATGTCTCCCTAAGCTTTATGTGTTCATAGTTGGGATTTTTGGGAGATTACTGTATCATGGGTGTATGATATTGGATCACATGTGTGTGACACTGGATTAGTCTACTGATGGGTTTATAGCTGGGTGTGATGTTGGGAGATGAAGCCTGGTGAGAACAGGTTGGTCACTATGGATGTGACCTTGAAAGTATATATCTCTCTCATCTTCCCTTGATGGTTAGCTCCTTCCTGCCTGCCATGCTATGGACTGTTTCTCCTCTGTGACTCCCCTCTGCCATGCCACCCTGCCTTGTAGCCAGCCAACTATAGACTATTTTAGAGGTTGGAGAAACCTCTAAAAACTGTAAGCTAAAATAAAGTTTTCCTCGTTTAACTTGTGACTGTTGGATATTTTGTCCTGGCAACAGGAAAAGTAACAATATAGGAACTGTGCCAGTAACTACAATTTACCTGAAATCTATTATAGCCAAGTAAAGGAAATAAGACCAAGCATACAAATAACTGTAACCCAAAGAAGAAAACAAGAGCAACACAAGAGAAACTCTTAAGTTCAAAAGAGATAAGAATTGATTGAGAACTAGCAGGATGGGGCAGACATGAGTTCAGAGAT